GGGGGGGGGGGGGCGGAGAATATTGGGAAAGGGAGATAACCGGCGAATGATACGGAACAAACATAGACCGGGTGTACCATTCTGTAATGCCCTGTTTATACACCAAAGGCAGGTTTATGCTGGCAGAACATATTGGGGGTTGTCATGCAACAGCAGTAGTACTTTGGGAGAAGGTGAATGATGGGGTGGAGGTGGGGCTGGTGGACAGGAGGACTCCCAAGTTCCAGTTCTTAAATACTAGAAAGCAAGGAACAGTTTAGTCTCAGTCCTTCAGTGAAGAAATCGGATGCTCATTTTCTGTTCTACGTCCACCTTCTCCAAAACCTGGGGGGAAAAACGCAATTACAATTATGAAGATCACAATAGGAAATACTGTCCCAGGCTCTTATCTCAATGTTTTTCTCCCTCCCTCCTGTGCAGAATTTAACTTTTCAAACCATGAGATGACTGACTGACCTTAACAAATTCTGTGAAAGATATGGCGCTGTCCCCATCTTGATCGGCCTCCTGGATGGTCCTGTCTGCAATGCTGCCCAGCTGTTCATCTGAGATATTCACTCCAACCATCATGCGTAGCACCTGCAGGACCAAGAGCCAGGATTACAGGAGACTTTGGGTCGGGGGACTCTTTATTAAGATGAAAGATAAAGCTACCTGACCCTCTTTTCCTCTGATATCCTTAAATATAACAGCCAGAAAGCTGAAACCCTTATCTTCTCATGTAGACCATTCTAGACAATGACATGAACAGAGCTCTCTGGCAAGGTCACTGAATAGCAAAACAAACCTCACCGAGGGAGGTTTGCATTTTGCTTTTGCCCATTCTTCCTTCCTGGAACACAGATATGATGGCTGGTGGTGTAGCAGCCATCCTGGGACTGTGAGGTGAAAGTCATATGTGCTATGAATGCCAGAGCAAGAATACAGAAGAAGCCTGGTTCCTGGGCATCATTTAGGTAATGTACCAACTTGGACAACCTATGCCCAGACTTCTTGTTGCATGAGGCAAACTAATTTCTTTTTTACAGTGGAGAAAACTTTATTCAATACAAAACAGCTCAACTGTGATACAGCACAGCTGTTAAAACAGCAGGGCTGTGAGGCAGCCCTGGGGCCAGGCCCATCTCCAGCTAGACAGCTCTGCTCTGCTCCTCCATGGTCTGTTTTGCGCTCTGCTGCTCTGCTCTGCTCCAGGGCGACATCTTCAGTGTTTCAGCTCAGTCAGGGAACAAACTAGTGTCTTATTGGATTTAGTAAGTTTGGTAGGGCTTCCTGGAATCCCACCCAAATGCAGTCCTCTTTGAGGTGGTGCGCTAACCTGCTGTCCCTAACATATGGCCAAGAAACAGAAAAGATCCTTGAAGGGTTAAATACTAAATCCCCCTTTTTAGAAAAATAGCATTCTATGTGCTGGGAGAACTTCAGTAAAGAGAATTTAAGTGTTTCACCAAATTTGTCTCAAATGTAACAAATCCATCCCCTCCCAATTCTGCTAACATTTTTAGGGTGTCAACACACTTTGAAAATTGCTACCTTAAGCAAAATAAACAACTCTAATCATGACTCTTAGTATGAAATGGGGGAAAGGGTGCTTTGTGATGCCTTACATCTCTGTACTTAGCCACTCTGTCTTCCAAAGGTAAGAGCAGAGCTTTCCACAAGAAAGAAAGGCCTTCTAGCCCAGCTATTCACGGGCCTTCCTTTCCTGTGCTCCTTTATATCCTTCTCGTCTCATGAAAGGGTTTTTAAAAAGTAAATTAGTTTCTCTGAAAAGAAAAGAAGAGCTGAAATATTGATTTGCGTCAACACTGGTCATTTTTTTTTTGGCAAATCAATTGTTGAAAATTGTATATTTTGGGCACAAATATACACCAATTGAAGGATTAATAAAAAGAGGCAATGCTAGCAAAAATAAAAAAATAGCCATTTGCCATCTTTCCTGATTGTGTGTGGCCAACTAGACAAATCAATCTATCCTCAAACCTCTCTAAGAGATCAGATCTCAGTCCAATTATTCTCTGTAGTGTTTTATTGTTAGAATTATAAAACTGAACTGTGCATGTGCGCTGTATGTGTACAGGGGTGGGGATAGGAGTGGTGGTGTCTTAAAAATCACTCATCCAGTGATTTGATGAGGGACATGAGGGCCAGGAAGTGGCTTAATACAGGTCCCAGCAACCAGGGTTCTGAGCTGTCCGCACAGGCCTCCATGCCCAGCGAGTGTGCTTTCCACCTCTCCATAGTACCACTTGTGGTTCCAGTCAGTTTATTAGCAAATGGGACTTTTATTATTACTATTTTTAATGTCTGCTGAGGTTTTTTTGTATATACCCTTTACCAATTAAGGAAAGTTTGTTTTTTTAAATAATATATCTTTATTGACTTTAGAGAGAGGAAAGGAGAGGGAGAGAGATAGAGACATCAATGATAAAAGAGTCACTGATCTGGGAATTGAGCCCACAACCCGGGCACGTGCCCTGACCCGGGAATTGAACCCTGATCGCCTGGATCCTAGGTCGACGCTCAACCACTGAGCCACGCCCGGCAGGGCTGACCTGAGTAACCTTGAACTTAGAGATTTCTCAAGACACTGAATGAGTTCAGATTTACTTCAGAGTGAATGAAAACCACCTTACTTTTTAGGCATATCTTGAAATAGAGAAATTTTCCCACGGAAAGTCCTGAATGTATTAGCCTCCTAGAGTCCTCCAGGTTTATAAATTTTTTTTTTTTTTAAAAGAGAGAGGCCTGACCGGGCGTGGCTCAGCGGTTGAGCATCAGCCTAAGATCTAGGAGATCATGGTTTGATTCCCAGTCAGGGCACCTGCCCAGATTGGGGGCATGCAGGAGGCAGCTAGGTGATCAATGACAACTCTCTTCATTGATGTTTCTCCCTCTCTCCCTCCCCCTTCCTCTCTCTGAAATCAATAAAGGTATATTTAAAAAAAGAGAGAGAGAAGACTTTTCTCCCCTTCTAAACTTGTATTTCAGGAAATGGGAGAGGAAGAATAGAAGGGCAATGGCTAATAGGATGAAATGCCAGTCACTGCTAGTAGAGGACAGGAGCAATGAAAGACAATGCGCAATCAGCTTGGTGTAACTAGCCCAGCAGCAGGTCCTTGACTCTTATGTCAAGCCCAAGGACAGATGAAACAGCAGTAAATACCTAAGAGTCATCAGAATTACCTGGCTGCCAATAAACTGAATGGACAATAAAAGAACATTTTAATCTAAACCATCTCACATATTTTAGTTCTGCCAGTCAGCACCTAAAAGACATTTAGATTTAGTTACTTTTTTTTGTTTTTTTGTTAATCCTCACCTGAGGATATTTTTTTCCATTGATTTTTAGAGTGGGGGGGAGGGGGAGAGAAAGAGAGGAAGAGAGAGAACATTGATGTGAGAGACACACATCAATTGGCTGCCTCCTGCACACACCTGCTGGGGCCAGGGATCAAGCCCACCGCTCAGGTATGCTCCCCTGACCATGAATCGAACTCTCAACCCCTTTAGTGTGCAAGCCGACGCTCCAACCACTGAGCCACACTGGCCAGGGCACACTGAGTTACCTTTTAAATAGTTGACACATCTGTCTTTGAGAAATCAGTGAGCTATTTCAAGTTTTCCCAGCTCATTTGCTCTGACTTATATCTAGGATAGAACTCTACACATAGTTCAGATAGATGTTAAGTAAATGCTTCCTGAAGGAAAGTACAATTTCTGCCCACATGAATAAGTAGGCAGGGCCCAAACACAAGTTATCCGTGTTCATGGGTGCTCTCCCACATACCTGTAACAGCTCATCACGGGAGATCTTGTCATCCTTATCCAGATCATATAGTCGAAAAGCAACTGGCAGGGAAAAATAGGTAGTTAGTGGAAATTCAGTAGTGTTTTGCCCCTTCTCAAGGAACTAAACATGTAAGGCAGAAAACTGAAAGCAAACTAATAGTTTTTCTAAGAGCCAATTACCATTACTTGTTGAGCTTTTACAGACTTTGTTAACACTTAATAAATTGAGGTACATCTCATAATTGATGGCATCTTAGCTTTGATGAAATATGGGACCCTCCTGGAACAAATCAGAAAACTTAATAGAAAGTCAAATGTCCTTTTTGAAAAAAATTTTTTTGCTTATCTTCACCTAAGGATATTTTTTCCATTGCTTTTTAGAGAGAGTGGAAGGGATAGAGGGAGGTGGGTGGGGGGGGGAGAGAGAGAGAGAAACATCAATGTGAGACACATCAACTGGTTGCCTCCTGCACTTGCCCTGACCTGGGCCAGGGACCAAACCCACAACCGAGGTACATGCCCTTGACTGGAAATTGAACCAGAAACCCTTCAGTGTATGGACAGACACTCTAACCAGTGAACCACACTGGCTCAGACAAGAAATGTCCTTTTTCTTATCTTAGAATTAAAAAAACAACAACCCGTAAGTGGTTCTGTAAGTTAGGTCATCTCACACAACCCATCAAGTCTACTGTGCACCGCTAAGGGGGAGCCAACAATAGGAGCCATATAGGCATCAAATGGCTGACTACACCAAGTATTGCTCTGGGAAAATGGCGAGACTGGCAAATCTGAGCCAAATTTCAAATAATTCTCTATTACTTGGGAGTCCTGTAGGTAAAGAGCTTTAGTTTCAAATAAAAATGGCAAGAATGTGATGGTCTTCTGACTTAATATCGTGTTTCTCTATCTTTAACAATAGATAAGTCTTCTAGAAAGTAGGCTATATAAGAGAATTCAGAAGAGCAAAAATCATTCAGCCATGTTGCTGAAGGGCTACCAAGCGAATAGTGTGGTAACAATGGATGATTTTATAGGCACTATGAGAAACTGTCACACTGAGTAAGTGACTGCCTTGGTTTTGAGGCTTTGAATCAATTCAAGTGCACCACTAAGAATTCTGGTTTTCAGTAGGGTGCTGTGAATATTAAAAGCCCAAAATCCAGTGCTCTAGAGTTATTAAGACACACAGATTTAGATCTTGTCCTTAGGAACTCATTATCTAGTGGAGTAGAACAACACACATTACTCACTTTAATACATTCTAAGTGCTATCATACATATGAACTTCAGGGTGACAAAGTGCGTAGCAGATATGCCTTCCTGATTCAAGTAAATCTGAACGAGTCTGACAAGGAGTGGCATTCGGGCAGGGCTAACACCAGGTACAAAGGCACGAGAACACGGATGAAAAGCTAAAAGTTTAAACATCACCCTTCCCCCCTTTAAAAAGGAGTGTGTTCTTTAAAAGTGAAAGTAAAACATTTTTTAAATCTGATTTACTCTTTGTAAGGTACATATTAGAATTCTGGAGGGATAAGAAACTGGGAGAGATTTTCTCTAATGTTTGTCTGTTCTCCTTAATTTGGTCAGTTGAGTAGTTAGCTTTACAAAATTTGAGAATTTACATACTTAGGTGGTTTACAGTCTAAGGGAAAGGAGACAAGAATAGTAAGTGTTCCTGAAGGAATGTGTTTAATATATTCCCTAAACACACACATACCCCCCCCCCCACACACACACCTGCAATATGCTGTCATCTTTCAAAAATACCATAAAATGTGTCATCTACTAAGCTATCTTTAGGATGATTTCGGGATGGAAACCTGTTTGCTATACAACCCGTTAATATCTATTTCTGAATTTCTTCATTGGGTAATTAGAATAAACACATCCCTTTCTGCTAAAGTATTTACAGAAGCCTAAACTAATTTAAAAAAAAATTAAATTTATCAGGGTGACATTGGTTGATAACATCATATTAAGTTTCAGGTGGACAAGTATATAATACATCATGTGTATACTGCACTGTGCGCTCACCACCCAAAGACCGGTCTCCTTCAGTTACCATTTGTTTGGCCCCCTTTATCCACTTCATCCTTCCCCCCACTGCCCTCTTTGCTGGTAACCACCATATTGTTGTCTGTGTCTATGAGTTGTTAGCTCCCTTGTTGCTTTGTTTTATATTCCTCATATGAGTGAAATCACATGGTTCTTGTCCTGTTCCATCTGACTTAATTTGCTTAGCATGATACTCTCAAGATCCATTCACGTTGTTGCAAATGGCAGTATTTCAACCTTTCTTACGGCCGAGTAGTATTCTGTTGCCACATATATATGTACCACATCTTTATCCGATCATCCATCAAATAACACTTAGGTTGTTTCCATGTCTTGGTGACCACGAATAATGCTGCACCGAACATAGGGGTACATTTACCTTTACAAGTAAATGGTTTCAAATATTTCGGGTTGATGCCCAAAGGAGGGATTGCTGAATCATGTGGTCTATTTTTAATTTCTTTGAGAGAACTTCATACTGTTTTCCGTAGTAGTTGTACAAGTTTACTTTCAAACCAGCTGTATATGAGGGCTCCTTTTTCTCCACATCCTCTCCAACACTTATTTCTTCTTATTGATAATAGTCATTCTAACAGGTGTGAGATGGTATCTCATAATGGTTTGATTTGCATTTCCCGTATAGTTAGTGAAGATGAGCACCTTTTCATATATCTGTTGGCCATTTGTATTGAATTGTTTATTCTTGAAACCCAGCTGCCATGAACTGAATATTTGTGCCCCCCCCCTCCAAATTTATGTTGAAACCCTAACCCCCAATGCAATACTGTTAGGTGGTAGAGCCTTTGGGGGAAATTACGGTTAGATTATGTCATGAGGCTGAAGCCCGCATGATGGGAAGAGACAGATCTCTTTCTCTTCTCTCCCTCTCCGTCTCCACTTCCCTCCCTATGTGAGGATACAGTAAGAAGATGATTGTCTGTGAACCAGTAGAGGGCCTTCATCAAGAAATTGACCATGTGGCACTCTGATCTCAGACTTCCCAGACTCAGAACTGTGAGAAATGTCTGTTGTTTAACTCACCCAGTCAGTGATATCCTGTTATAGCAGCCTGAGCAGACTAAGACACTAAAAGAGGGGCCAGATCACCCAATAGGGATTTTAGAAAAAACTGCAGCTATAGTTATTTTTTAATTGAGTTGGATTCCTGTCAGTCAGCTCTGGCCCTGAACCAGCAGAAACAATTTTCCCAAGAAAATGAATGGTTAAATGCACAAATGACTGAGCCATTTTGTTAGGTTCTCTCTCTTTCCTCTCCTCCTCACCCTTTCCTGATTCTTGGTCCTATGACTTGGACTCTCTTATCTCCAAAGCTGCCTTCTGGACTCTCCAGTTCCATGGCTTCAAATGCCACCTAATTCTGACTACTCCAAAACGTGAAGCTCTAGCTCAGACCTGTTGCCTGAGCTCCTCAGAGCAACAGGGTACAGTGGCTAAGACTCTGGCTCTGACGAATCCTGGCTCTGACGAATCCTGGCTCTGACGTTCCCTAGCTATGTGCCTCAGTTCCCTGAGGGGTGCAAAACAAGAATAACAGAATCCACCTCATAGGGTTCTGAGGACTGAATGAGTTAGCACATGAAAGGCACTTTATGTTATTTATTTATTTATTTATTTATTTATTTATTTATTTATTTAATATCTTTATTGATTTCAGAGAGAGGAAAGGAGAGAAAGAGAAAGAGAGAGAGAGAGAAACATCAATGATGAGAGAGTCATTGATTGAGCCCACAACCCAGGCATGTGCCCTGACCAGGAATCGAACCCTGATCGCCTGGATCCTAGGCCGGTGCTCAACCGCTGAGCCACGCCCGACCGGGCATGAAAAGCACTTTAAACAGTGCCTGGCACACAATGAGAGCTCAATCAATGTCATCTATGTGCCATCACCTCTCTACCCTCCTCTCACACCACTCACTTTTTTTTTAAAAAAAAATATATCTTGCCCGGCCGGGCGTGGCTCAGCAGTTGAGCACCGGCCTAGGATCCAGGCGATCAGGGTTCGATTCCTGGTCAGGGCACATGCCTGGGTTGCGGGCTCAATCAATGACTCTCTCATCATTGATGTTTCTCTCTCTCCCTCTCCTTTCCTCTCTCTGAAATCAATAAAGATATATTGATGAGAGAGTCATTGATTGGCTGCCTCCCACATGCTCCTAATCGGGGAATCAAGCCTGCAACCTGGGCATGTGCCCTGACCGGGAATCGAACCCTGATCGCCTGGATCCTAGGTAGACACTCAACTGCTGAGCCACGCCCGGCTGGGCATCACTTCTTTCTTGATAATGCTTCTTCCTTCTCTGAACACACCAAGTACTCATTACTACCCAAGGCCCTTTACAGCAGTTGTTCCCTTTGCCTAGAGCTCTCTTCTGATCTTTACATGGTTGGCTCATTCTTAGCTCAAATTTCAATTTCTCAAAGAATTCACTGCCCACTCATTCTAAAGTTATGACAGCCCCCTATCACTTTCTAATTTCACCTTACTCATTTCCTTCATGGAACTTGAGGTGCTTTTAATCTTGTTTATTCCATAGTCTGTGTCCCATATTTGATCATAAGCTCTATGAAAGCAGACCTTATCTGATTCACGCATCATTATATCCTGGGCGTAAAATAGTGCTTTGCACGTAGCAATTGCTCATACATTTGCTTAATGAAAGACCAAATGAATGATCTCAGTCAAACCTTTACCTTTTAATCAGTTTGTTCTTTTAAAAAAATTATAGTAAAGTATACATAAAATACACCATTTTGACCCTTTTTAAGAGTAGTTTTTTTCACATTTTGGTATAACCTTCACCACATCCATCTCTAGAACTTTTTCATCTCTTCCAAAGGAAACTCTGACCCATTAAATAATAACTTCCATCTCCCCCTGCCCACAGCCCCTGGCAATTTTCTATGAATTTGACTACTCTAGGAACCTCATATAAGAGTAGTCAAACAATATTTATCCTTTAGTGTCTGGCTTATTTTAA